ATTCTTCTGTTGAAGCTTTCATCTTTTTCCTATTAATGTAAAAAAACACTTTGAGAGCAATCATTTGTTTTATGTGGTACATTTTTTTCACGCCTGTCATTTCCTGTTTTATGTGTCATTTTTATACATAGCCATTTTTCTTGTTTTATTTTTTGTGTAGTTTGAATCCGTCCATCTTTTCCTTAATGATTTTCACTTTACATGTTATGCTTAGAAAGGCATACATTTGCCCAGGGCAGAAACAATCATCTGTGCAATCAACCCTCAGTTAAGTAAGACAACAGGCAGAATAATTTAATAAAGCTATTAATTTATCATTTATTTTACATCCAGCCACCTCACTGAACCCTTACTTATCCAGATAATTTTTTAGTTAATACTAATCTTTAATTCACTTTTTTAGAGATCCCTCCTTGTTAATCTGTTCTTTTTCTAACTGCCTGAGTTGAACTCATAGTCTGTTTCTTTTTATTCTTATCAGAAAAACCTTCAACACTACAAATCTATTTCTGATCACTACTTTGGATATATTCCACAGATTTCTGATATATATTTTCCTCAGAAGTATTTTCTAAAATTCTGGGCTTGTTTTTATTTCGCTTTACAGTAGTCATTTTGAAGAGTTTTTTTTAAATTTTCAAGTTTTACTTTGTTTTGTCTTGTCATTTAATGCTTAGTAAGAGTTCATAACTGACTTCATTTTACTCACAGAATGTGAGCTGTATGTTTCTGCATTTTATTAAGGTTCTGAGGAGTCAAAAACATGACCACTGGTGCTAAGAGGTCTTAGGCCACAGAGACTGGTGAGCAACCACTAAGTTTACCTCACAATGTTATTATTCAGACACATATGATCTGTCCCAAACTGATAAAAGCAGTCTAAAAGCCTACCATTCCTGAGCGTCTGTAATTTTCTATTTCTCATGTGATGCTACATTATTTAACTCATAAAGGTTTGTGACAAATAGTTATTACGGATTATACTGTTTGTGTGTTTTCGAAGTAAGTCTCACTATCCCATTTGATGATTTTAGTCCTCAAATTCTGAGGTCTGATAGTAATATTATGATCACCACTTTCTTCTTACCAGGTTTACCTGATGCAAGCTTTGCTCAATCTTTTAGTCTGGGATAACTTTACTTTTGGGCACTCCTATAACCCATCTATCCTGAAACTTCATTGTAGGGGTTATAAACTGGTACTCTGTGGAAATGCATATTATTAGGGGTACAACGAAGAACATCTTCCATAATCAAAAAACTTTGTTTCCCAAGTTTGAACTGGTTTCTTCAGGGTAGGACTTCTCAGTCTCCAATATGCTAACAAGCAAACTGACTTTCCATGAAGAAGCATAAACTTAATTTGCCTCAAAGGCCATTTTCCCCCAGGACATCTATTTATCTCTCCTGGAAAACATGGGAACGGGTTGGGAGGGGACTTCAGAGTACAGGATATGATAGTATGGGGAAAAAAATACAATCTTAACCATAGTTTTCAAAGGAAACCTGAGGACTTCAATTGTTGAAAAAGTTTGCTTTTTATATAGCCAAAGTTTATTTACATGGCAGTTTTGAGCTATAGCTTCCAGAAATTATATTTAATGCTAGGAATTAACAGTGGTCAAAATAACAGAACTTCACTAATGTATCTAATTTCTAGGAAAGTCAAAGAACTTATTCCAAGGTTAATATGTACATCTTCAATCTATGATAAGACATTTTGTACATTTCTGGAGACACTTTAATTTTCAGAGTATTTTTCATATGCAGTATTTCACTTAATTTTTACAACCTCATTAGGTAAACGGGAAATGTATTATTTCCACGGAAAATACAAGGAAACAGGCTTGGAACTTCAGGCCATCTGGCCAACTTGGTTTGAAGAAACACCCATGGTTATCTACTGGTGAGACAATGACTTGACTTGGAGTCAAGTCCAGCAAAAGATCCGTAAAACCTCATGGAAATATCTTGATGATGAACGTCCATGTAATGGGACCTGACAAGGATTATTTGTTTTTCTCTTCTATATATTTTTATTAGAACTTTATTAGAACTTTAAAATGTGCATTTTAAAGAGGAAGAGATTTTATTCTGATATTCAATTACTTATTTAAATGCCATCTTTAGAAGCTAGAGGGAAATAACTAATGACATTTAATTTATTCAGCTGAGTGATCACCTGGATGGCTCATTTGGTTGAGCGACCGACTTCAGCTCAGGTCATGATCTCGTGGTTCACCAATTCAGGCCCCACATCTGGCTCTGTGCTGACAGCTCAGAGCCTGGAGCCTGTTTAGGATTCTGTGTCTCCCTCCCTCTCTGCCCCTTGCCCACACTTGCTTGTGCATGCTATCTCTCTCTCTCTCTCAAAAATAAGTAAATATTCGTTTAATTCAACTGAGCAAGAAAAAAATACTCTTCACAGTCCTTGAGAACACACTGCCACCAAGCACTGGCACAATACTGAATAAAGAATATCTTCTCCAAATTATAGTTTACCTAATTTCAGCGGCCACTTGATAAGGTGTTGTTTTCCAAACTTCCCCTTCCACTGTTTTCCCATCAGCCATTCTCACTGTGATCACATTGCTTGTATTCTCCTTTTGGTCATTAATGGCAAATAAGAGCTGATGGTCTTTCTTCAATATTTCAAAAAGCTTCAACCTTTCCTTAACGAAATTGGGTTGATTTTTCACCTGAAAGTCATCAGAATACAAGAGAGTTAACATTCACGGCCCACTTTTTTCTAACTGTTCAACCTCTAGTAAGTCTCATCCCATACTCTGCACACCACAGGTCATTTCCAAGTCTCCTTCTGGTCACTTCTTAGCTCTCAGGGTCCAGCTCAGAGCCCACCTCTTCTAACTAGCACATCTCCCTAAGCTACATGTTTAACACCCATGTGCCACAGTCCAATTAGCACCTATTTATACACCACACTACTTTATTCTCTAGCTGTCTTTCCTGTTGGTCTGATCTCAACCAGACTGATCCCTCTGAGGCCAGGTATTCCTTCTTAGCTCCTGCCAAGTATTTATGCTGGAAACATACTCTGGTTGTTTTAATGATTTATAGTAGCTAATTTCTTCAACACAAAAGAAACACTGGGCTATCTCCACTTAGACATAAGAGCATTTAAATACAGCTGACTGTCTAGCTCATCTTGAAGTTAAGACAACTTGAATCTAAGGCTTACAAGGTTTTAAACATACTACTGTGCCCCAAACTAGCAAGTATGTTTTAATTAACGATCCCAGGCAATTAATTGTATAAGCACATTTAAATGACAAGTCGTGGGGTGACTGGGTGGCTCAGTCAGTTAAGCGTCTGACTTTGTCTCAGGTCATGATCTCACAGTTTGTGGGTTCGAGCCCCGCATAGGGCTCTGTGCTGACAGCTAGCTCAGAGCCTGGAGCCTGTTTTGGATTCTGTGTCTCCCTCTCTCTCTGATCTTCCCCTGCTCATGCTGTCTCTGTCTGTCTGTCTCTCTCTCTCAGAAATAAATACAAACATTAAATATATATATATATATAAATGACAAGTCGTATTGTACATTATCTCCATGGCAACAGCTTACCTCACTCTCAGGCCTGCCTGCCTCCTCCTTCGTTTTAGTGTTCTTTTCCTGGCTTTGACTAGAAGGAGGCTGAGAAATAAAGGTAAATTATAAATAACTCACAGCAATGACAGGAGAGAGCAACACAACTGAAACGTGCAGAAGAGAGGCACATGCCAGCAGTCAGCAAGTTTCCCATGTTGGAGGCTGGGCTGCCCTGACCACCACCTACAACTCTCAATGGGCGAGTCATTTTCTGGATTTCCATCCTTCCTGACTATGTATTTTCTCACACTCTTGCTCAGTACATTTAACATGTTTTTCTCTTTAAAGTTTTCCCCCTAAACCTTTAACGGATAATGTCTCTGTAAAATGGTTGTGTAGCTGCCGCCGGACTTTAAATGCACTATTTTAGGAAGATGTTAAGAGTGCACCACAGTTACCCTTGGTAAAGAACTCAAGAACACTCCACAGTCTGAGAAACCTTTCAAAACTTCAGAAAAAGTATTAGGTTGCACCACGATAATTTGTCCTTCAATGAACCAAAATATTAAAGTATTGTTAAATAATAACGTTATATATAGAGATCGCAGAAAGAGAATGACAACAAAACCATCTGTCGTAAATAGCTCTGAACCAGCCATTCATTAGAGGGAACGGTAGAGTTTGTATACGCAGCTGTTGGTCTTCCTGCTCAAGTAAGAACAGCGAGTTTTAATCACTCCAGCATTTTTTTTTCAAACAAAGGAAAATGCTATTTCTGCTACTGAAGAAAATGAGTGGTTGGCAATTTACTGGAAGAACGGCAAAATCACGCCATTAAGTCAGTCTGGCGACTGCTGGAAATACAGGACTCCAAAGAAAGTCCGGGCTACTCAGTGGTTCCCAGGCCTTAGCAGGTGCACAGAGCCGGGCTCGGCGAGGGGCGGGCCCTGCAGCGCGCCGCGGCCGCTCTCCTCCCTCCGGCGGGACCACCTCCACCCGTGCACGATCGCAGCCCGCGGCGCCGCGGGTCCGGGGCTCCCGGCGGCCCCCGGCGGCCTCCCCCGCAGCGGGCCCCGCCGTCCCGTTACCTGCGCGCCGGCAGTCGCGCGCCCGGCCTCCTCTTGCGCCGCCGCCGCCCGCGCCGCGCTCTCCTGCTTCGCCTGCTGGCTCCGCTCGTCCGCGAGGCACAGCCGCAGGCGGGACAGCCGGTGGCGCAGGTCGCGGTTTTCGGCCCGGAGCTGCGCCACCTCCCGCGTCAGGCACGGCCCCTCGGCTGGGCAGCGGTCCGGCGCGTTCAGCTGCTCGTCCCTCAGGCGCCGGACCTCCGCCCACAGCCAGCGGATGTCCTCCTCCTGCCGTTCCAGGCGCGAAGCCACGGCCTCGGCCACCAGGGCCTCGGCCGCCATGGCGGCCGGCTGCGCACCGCACAGACGCAGCTCCCGGGGGTGGCCTCTGCGGGCGAGACGGCAGCGGTGCTCGAAGCCGGGAGACAGCGGCGGCTCAGACGCAACGAGCGTGTGAGTATATATAGAGGCGACAGGGAAGGGTACGGCTATCTGAAGGGCGGGGTGACGGTCAGGGGCGGGGCGACGGAGAGGGGCGGGGCGGGGCTCTCCGCAGACTGGGACTATAGGAGCTTCGAGGAGGCGGGGCGACAGGGAGGGGAGGGGCGACTGGGGGCAGGGCGGGGCTCTCCGCAGGCTGGGACTACAGGAGCTGCGAGGAGGCGGGGCGACAGGGAGGGGAGGAGCGACATGGGGGGCGGGGCTGGGCGGGGCTCTCTGCAGCGCTGGGACTGTAGGAGCTGAGGGGAGTCGGGGCACCTGCAAGGGTGGAGCTGAGGCTGGGCACACTGCTGGGATGGGGGCCTTTGGGTAGGGGCACACGCGGTAATTAGGGGCTGGAAAGTGGCGTGGGGCCTAAATAGGCTCACAGTGTCTTCATAGCTAGCCTCATATCATCATGCATTGGTTGAATCGCAAGTTATCCAAAATCTTGGGAAGGTTAACATCTCCCTTCTCAGCATGGCTCTGTCTTTAATCTCGAATTCTGACCAACACCATTGTTTCAACTTGCAGCCACGTTCTGAATATTGGCCATTGGCTTTCATGCCAAGGCTGACCAAGTGCAGAGGCTGCTGGGCACAGAAGATCTCTAAGTAAAGGTGACTGGCAACTGCTAGCTTCTCGCTGGAGGCTAGGGCAAATGCCACAGACATCTCTGTGTACCCCGCAACTGTGAGTATGAACCTTACTATAATTGGGACACAAACTGATTTTTTAAAAAAAATAGGCTTCACCCCCAGCACGGAGCCCAACTCAGGGCTTGAACTCACGACGCTGAGATCAAGGCCTGTGCTGAGATCAAGAGTTGGAGCTTAACTGAGCCACCCAGGTGCCCCATGATACAAATTGATTTTTATTAACATTCTTGGGGCTTAGACTGTGTCATACACTACTCTATGCTCTTTACAAATATTAATTCCTCTAGTACTCATAACAAAAAATATTATTATGTCTGATAAATTGATAGATAAACTGAAGCCACAGAGAGGCTAAGTGACTTGATCAAGGTCACATAGCCACTGCATGACAGAGCTGAAATGCAAACTCAGACAATTTGATGCCAATGTCTATGTGCATAACACTGGTGTCTTTCGATGTTCGTAAAATTTAATTGATCATGTCATATGATGAGATACAGATAATAAATGCCATTGGAATTCCAAAATGGGAGAGCTTAGTTGGGCTGGTGAAGTTCAGGCAGAGAGTAATTGCTCTGGAAAATAAAGGTTGGCAGTTATTATAAAGGTGGAGAGGCTAATGAATGCCACTCTAGGAGCAGATTCAGCATTCCAGAAGCTGGGAGGGGGCAGCTAACCGGAGTAATCTAACTGGAATCACAAACTGCTCCTAGGAGGAAGTTCCATAAAGTATGGCACTAAAACCACTGTATCTTTGTATTCTCTTTCCTGGTAGGCTTCTGGACAGAATTACAGAGACTCACTGCCTCCACATTCTTCCCAGTCACTTCTGAACCAGCTGTCATCTGGATCACCTCCCATCCTGACATGACTTATGTACTGTCAAATGCATGGGGGCCTGGCATGGTGGGGAACCGCCTGGCATAGACCCCTTCCCCCCAAAAAAGTTTTCTCAGGCTCCTTTGTAATTTTTCTCTCTTGGGCCTCCATCCCCAATTCTTAGGCAACCACTGATCTGCTCTCTGTCACTACAGATTAGTTTGCATTTTCTAGAGTTTTCTATAAATGAAAGAATACACTATGTACTTTTGTTTGTTTCTTTCTTTCATTCAGCATAATTTTAAGATTTATCCATGTTCTGTGGGTGTATCTGTCGTTCATCCCACCACCACTCCCAGTAGTAGTTCATTGTATGCCTGTACACAATTTGTTTTTCCATTTATCTGTTGTTGGACATTTGGGTTGTTTCGAGGGTTGGGCTAAGATCTACCTGATGGTGAGCTCATTAGGTTACTGTGGCTGTTTCCCCAGTTTCAGAGGCAGAGTTTGAACAGACATACTCAGCAACTGGCAGAATTTCCACAGTGGTTCCCTGACCCATGGTTTAAAGCTATTCTAGTATGAAAGACCAAGTGGAAACCTCTAGAACTTTCTCAACCTTAGAAAATAGTAAACCAAATGCAATGCCACAGTCCTGGGGGAATCGCAGGGACCACTGCCACTCTCAGTGTCTTGAAAGATGCAGCGTGGTGCTTCTCACCAGATGTCCATTTACCTCACCTTGTTTGGCCTGTGTAGAGGACAAATGGAAGTTGAAGAATTACAGCAGATTTGTCATAAATCTAATTAGACAGAGGCTCTAGTTGCAGCTGCTCTTCCAGCGATGCTATCATTGGTGGAGTAAATAAGCATAATCTCTGGCACCGTATATGCAGCTATTGATCTGGCTAATGCTTTTACTTTATACCTATTAAAGGCCATCAAAAGCAGTTTTTATTCAGTTGGCAAGACTAGCAATACATTCATAGTTTCGCCCCAGGACTTTCTAGCTTCACATCAAAATCTAGTCCACAAGGATTTTGATTGCTCCTCCATTTCAAAGTCGTCATGCTGATATTGTAGCTTTCATAATTTCCTGCTGATTCTACCTCGTAAGCGGGAAATTCCAAACACAGTTGACTCTTGAGCAACTTGGGGGTTTGAGGCACCTATACCCCGTGCAGTGAAAAACCTGCATACGACTTTTGATTCCCCAGAAACTTAACTATGAATAACAGAAGACTTGAAGGTGACCGGAAGCCTTACCAATAACATACAATCAATTAACACATATTCTGTATGTTATATGTATTACGTGCTATTCTTACAATAAAGTAAGCTAAAAAAGGAAAAATGTTATTAAGATAATCGTAAGAAAGAGAAAATATACTTACAGTACTACATATCAAAAATCTGCATATAGGTGAACCCATGCATTTTGAACCTGTGTTGTTCAAGGATCAACAATGCTACAGTCACTTTGGGAAGACAGTTGAAAGCTACAGAGAGGAAAATAAATCCCAAAATTAAAAATTGCAGGAGACTGCCATTCAGTGAAGTTTTTAGTTGTCCAGTAGGTGAGGGAATCTAGAGATGTCAGCTCTAGGGTGAAGAAAAAGTTGATGAATCTTGATATTTTCTTGTTAAGAGACACAATGCCTAGTGGGCCTCTTTGGATTTTGAAGACAACATACACATCATTTGAGCACGTATGTTACTCTGACCCAATTACTATAGAACTCAAAAAGACTGCAGTTTTGAGTAGGAGTGAGAGCAGAAGATTCTAAATCAGGTCAGCAGCTATGCAAGCTACTTTTACCCATGGGCCACAATGATTCAACAGATTTGATGGTGCTTGAAGTGTTTGTTGTAGGTAAGAATAGCATATGTAACCTTTGACAGAACTTATAAGGGAATCACAGCATAGTTCTTTAAGGGGAGAAAAAGAAACCCATGTCATTCTTTGTTTTTGAGAAGTAGCTTCTGGTTTGCTTCTGGACCATAGTAGAGACTGATCTCTTGATCCTGAGCCATGAAGCTACCTAAGTTGTCCATCATGAACTGGGAGTTGTCTGACTCAGCGAGCCCTAAGGTTAGGCATGTATAAAAGCACTCTATCATCAAATAGATATGTCTAAGATCTACGTCTAAGACCTAAGATTCTTCTGTATTTAGGGTTGCCAGTAAGATACATGTTGCACAGTTAAATTTGAATTTCAGATAAATAATTGTGGGTATAAGGATGCCCCATACAATATTTGGAACATAGATCTACTAAAATTTTTTTCAAGCCAAAAAACATTAAAGTTGAGACAAAGGACACTTTATAATGTAAGACAGGTCGCATTCTACAATGACAATATAGCAATTATAAATATCTATGAGCCAAACTACACAGCACTCTCCTATATAAAATACAAACTTCAGGAAATGCACAAAGAGATCAAACACACTAATAATAGGAAAATTTAACACACCACTCTATTCAAGACAGCTTGAGTATACACACACGTAAGCATGTAAAAGGCTCCCCAAAATATAATAAAAAGGTATGTGTGTGTACACACACACGTGTTTGTATATGTATATATGTATATATATGTGTGTGTGTGTGTATACATACGCGTATGTATACACACACACACACACACATATACTACTTAAGCATATACATATTCGTCACAAAAATTAATTGTATACCAGGAGATAAAGAAGCTATCTCAGTAGCTTCAATAAACTAGAAATACACATGCAACACTATTAGATCCCAATGCAATAAAATCAGAAATTAAAAATGAAACAACTTTTTAAAAAAGGCTTTCCACATGGAAATGAAGCGATCTCTATTTTAAAATTATTTTTAATGTTTATTTATTTTGAGAGAGAGTGATAGAGTGAATGGGGGAGGGGCAGAGAGAAAGACTGAGAATCCCAAGCAGGCTCTGCACTGTCAGCACAGAGCCTGATGCAAGGCTTGAACTCACAAACTTGGAGATCATCGTCTGAGCCAAAGTCAAGAGTCAGACGCTCGACCGACTGAGCCACCCAGGTGCCCCTGTTTTTTTTTTTAAATTTTTAAGTTTATTTATTATTTATTTTTTGAGAGTGTACTTTCTCTCTCTCTCTGTCTCTCTCTCTCTCTCACCACCCCCCCCCCCACACTCACACACTATTGGAGGAAGAGCAAAGAGAAGGAGAGACAGAATCCCAAGCAGGCTCCACACCACCAGCACAGAGCCCAATGTGGGGCTTGAACTCACAAACTGTGAGATCATGACTTGAGCCAAGATGAAGAGTCAGATGCTAACCCAGCTGTGCCACCCAGGTGCCTGTAAAAAAGGATCTCTAGTAAACAATTCTTAAGTAAAAGAAAACAACAAAAGAAATCACAGAATTTCTTTAAAATTATGATAATGAAAGTACTCACACATAAAAATCTAGGGGATACATTTATTTTTTATTAAAAAAATTTTTAATGTTTTTATTTATTTTTGAGAGACAGAGCACAAGTTGTGGAGGGGCAGAAAGAGAGGGAGACATAGAATCTGAAGCAGGCTCCAGGCTCCAAGCTCTCAGCACAGAGCCCAATGTGGGATTTGAACCCACGAACCGTGAGATTATGACCTGAGGTAAAGTCGGATGCTTAACCAACTGAGCCACCCAGGCACCCCTGAAAAATAAATTTTAAAACCTCAAATTGGATCCTGGGCAGGATTAGTTTAAAAAAAAAAAAAAAGCTATCAAGGGCATTGTTAGATCAACCAGACAAAACTGGAAAAGGAATGGTATATTAGGTAAAGTATCTAATGTGATATAAGATGTTAATGTGAATTTCTGTAGTTGATAATTATTCCAAAGCGATGTAAGAGAACATGTCCATTCTTAGTAAAAACAAGCTGATGTTATTTAGAGGTCACATGTCACAATTCATGTAATGACCAAATAGTTCAGGGGGAAAAATTTATAGAACTACAGAGAGCAAATGATAAAGCAAAGGGATAAAATGTTAGCAGCTTCTGAAACCATCCATCAGATCATATCCCTCCCTGGGTAAAGTCTTCAGGAGCTTTCTACTGCAAACATAGGAAAATCCAAATTTCTTATCAGGACCTACCAAGCCGGCAAGACTGAGCTCCTGATGGCCTCTGCGACGTTATCCCATGACCAGCATCCTACAGCCCATGTGCTGGTTCATGGAGCCCTCACATTCTCAAATACATTCCGCTTTTTCCTGCCGCTGGGACTTTACACATCCTTGGTAGTATTTACACATTGCCTGATAGTATCTCCTTTTCCCTCTCATATCCAACTTCTCTTCGTTCTGTCAGTTTCAGCTTATGTGCCTCCTCGATCTCTATTTAAGGTAGCCCCACCCTCTTTTTCTCTCAGCTTTTTTCAGCTATATTGTAATTATTTTATTTGTCTACTTGACTCTTTTTTTTTTTTTTTTTAAATCTCTAGCTGCACTTCCTCTCCAGGGTAGGGATGTTGTCTGTCTTACACACCATTATTCTATATCATGCACCAGCACAAAGTGGGCAACCAGAAAGAAAATCTGGTTAAAAGAGAAAATCTGGTTATAAGAAAATCTGGCTAAAGAAAATCTTAGAGTAAAAATCACCTGCAACAAAATTTGGAGACAGCAAAAATGCTTGTGTGGGTATCAGATGTGGGAGGCGGGAGCAGCGGTGAATGGGTGGATTTTTAGGGCAGTGGAACTATTCTGTATGATGATAAATAAAGGATATTTGTCATATATTTGCCCAAACCCTTGGAATATACACTACCAAGAGTGAACCCTATTGTAAACTATGGACTTTGGGTGATGATGATGTATTAGTGCAGGTTCATAATTGCAACAAATGTACCGCTTTTGTGGGAGACACTGATAGTGGGGAGGCTGTGCGTGTGGGGTCAGGGGGTGTACGAGAATTCTCTGTACTTTCTGTTCAACTTTGCTGTGCTTTAAAAAACTGCTCTTAAAAAATGAGCTTAAAAATGAAGAAAAAGGAATGCCCTGAGAGACTACAGCTTACCACTAGATGCCACTATTTCCCTTCCAAGTTTCAATGTGGGGCACATTTACCTTAACTGCTGGTGCTGAGGAAATTTGCTGGGGTTCTGTAATTGTCTGCCCCAGTTCTTCAGTCTACAGTGCCTCGCAAGATTGTCCCAGCCCAGACCCAGTTTTGTACTTTCAAGGGATGTTATCAAATGT